CCACCCCGCATCCAACACCAACACAGCTACTAGCAATCCAACAACTTCAATACACTTTCTCTAATTACACAGGCTTAGGCACGAATAAATCGCTTAGATACATTTTACTCGAGATATCCAATAAATAAATGTTAAAATAAACGTTAGAAATCGTGATGAGACGTCGATGATGCAACGAATACGATTGGCAAAATGCAATTTCACTCAATGTAGCGAGAAATTAACGGGCAAATGAGCGCATTGAAATTGGAACGAATTTTGCACTGTGAATTTTGTTGTTTGATTACCGTAGCCCAATGGTCACTATAATATGGCTGGATCGAGCTGAAAAGCATTAAAATGGTTTAACGACGGCCAAGTTGTTGGGCTGGATAATGTATATTTTGGCCATAGGTGCTTTCGCGTTTGCGCTAAGCGACACGAGAGAACGACACAAGCTCAAGTTTTTCAAATAACGGTCATCCTTCGGCATTTATTTGAAAGTGTCGAGTCAAAGGATCGGAGAGAGAGAGAGAGAGAGAGAGAGAGAGAGATAGGTACTCGTGGAGGAGATATAGTAGGTGGAAAATTTTTTATTAAACGTAATATTGTGCGTGCGTTAGTCGCTCGTAGCCACGACGAACGCGCAGCTCTCGTAATCCGCCAGCAGTTGGGAAAGCGCAAGGCGTCGGGGCCCTGTGGTGGGCGGGTGGGCGAGAGGCGCTGAAAGGTTGTAGGAGTGGAGGAAGTAAGGCCGTGAGTCGCGGAGCTATGAGAGGAAAGACGAAGGAAAAGTCGAGAGGAAAAAGGTGCCGAAGGAGCGGCGAAGTACCGTGGCCCCGGAAGAAACGCGCGAACAAGGTTTGCGGTCTGGCCGGACGGTGGCGCGTCGCTCGCGAAAGTCGATGTGCGTCAGCGGAAGCGGTGCCGTGGCTCGCTCGGCTCTTGGTCCCCAACGACGAGGAGCCGCCACACTGCCGTGGGTCCCGAGGGACGAGCAGTCGCTTTGCTGACGTCGAGAATGCTCGGAGGGACGTCGTAGCGGAACTGAGAATTATTGTTATTTGCTGTTGTTGCGCTCGAATTGAGCTGAGCGAGCGCGGGCGAATATTTGAATTGATCGGTCCGTCGCTCGGAGAAAAGTCAACTTGATTTTCCCCTCTGGTGTTTAATAATCGTGGTACTCGGCACGCGAGTTTACGCGTCGACGCGCGCGCCGCACTTTTCATTTGTTTCTTCAGCTCGTCACGAACTAGGCGAGAAGGAGGAAGAGGAGGAGGCGGAGAAGGAGAAGGAGAAGGAGAAGGAGAAGGAGAAGGAGAAGGAGAAGGAGAAGGAGGAAGATTGAGAAACGAAGCGCGCGGATTATGTGGAGGAAAAAGTGACGCTTCGCGCGCCAAATACCACTGGGAGGAGAGATACATCTTGTCGAAGGTAAGCAGACGGAGACGGAGTGACGCGTTGTACGACGGAGCGTGGAAGACTGGAGGGGTGAGAGTGATAGAGTGATAGAGTGAGAGAGTGAGTGAGAGAGTGAGTGAGAGAGTGAGCGAGAGAGAGAGAGAGAGCGAGTGACGGTATTATAGTGCGGTCGCGAGGGGACGAGAAAGGCTGGGACGATGAGGAGGAGGAGGAGGAGGAGGGGGGGGGCGAAAGAGAGAGAGAGAGAGAGCGAGAGAGAGAGCGAGAGAGAGAGAGAGAGAGAGAGTGAGTAAGAGGGCAGAACGGCGGCGGCGAGTCGTTGTCGTCGCTGCCTTGGGAATTTGGGACTCGAGTAAGGAGGAAGGAAGGAGTTGTGCACGGTCTGGAGCGTCATAACGTCCATCTCGACTGTCCTGCTCATTTTTGTGCTACGTCGTCTGCCAGCCACACGAGGCCCTGACAAATGTACGTATGTATGGATTTGTGGGCGGATCTCTTTTATGATCGCTGAGTGCATTATTACGATTGTGCCCCGTAGCCGACCATAAGTAGCTAACGATCTTTTAACGTATTTGTGCTTGATTTGAGAAGTGATTTCGAAAGCGCCTGGGCACGAGATTCCTGCTTAAGTAAACACTCGTACGTATTGGGAATATATTTTAGGTGTTTTGAAAAGTCCAGGGACGACCTTCTTGCGGATGCGATTTTCTCGTTCGATAATAAGCTTCATTTTTCACTTGGTTGATCGGTTTAAAGTACCCTCGGTACTCCCGAGCCCTCAACGAGCCCTCAACGAGCCCTCAACGAGCCCTCACCAGTCCCATGGATCTCGCATTATTCCTCCAGTCCCATGGAATGTCAATTATTTATTACGACGATATGATCGGCTAACCATTATCGAGATTATCAAGTCATTTTTCATTGTCTAGTACCATAGGAATTCGATCTCCATGTGGCGTGCGCGAAATTTGTTGTATTTGACTATGTCGTGGTACAGCGTAAGGATAAATTGCCATTGCAACGAGTCTGTTATTGTATTTTTGTGTTGTAGTTGAGCTTCGTAGAGGTGCTTCGCTGCTGGAGAGAAAATGTGGGAACAAACGATGAAAGACTGCACAGATGGAGCAGTGAATATAGACAAGAAGCAACAGGTGGACTCTCAGGGAGATTCTGGCTTCTTATCGGGTAGTAATTTGGTAAGCTCCGAACTGGATATAGAGGTGGAGGATGAGGAAAGGACGGACGAGCAGACTACCATTAAGATAGCACCGGAACCGGTGAGAGCCATCGACAGTGGCTTGGATCTTGGGCTCAGTAATACATTGAGTCAGTTATCTATCAAAGGGGAAAGCCTGAACCCCCTCGACAGTGGCACCATTCACCCGGATAGCGAAGAATTGGCAGCTGGAGAGGTTAAGAACGAAGATTCCCAAGAACCATGGGAGATTTATTATACCCAAGACGACGATGGCGATACGTAAGTAATTAAAGGGAATGATTAATGGAGCGTTTATGTACCACTACTTTATAATCTGAAAATTAATTTGCTCTTCTCTTTTCTTTCTTCAAGGCAATTGCATATTTCAATAATTCAGGGATTCCTCGAGGCAGCCTTTTTCCTCGTTAGTATGGCACCGCACCCTTGCCTTCTCAATATTTTGAACGACGATGCTCAAGCAGCGTTACATCTTGCGGTATTGACTCAGCAGCCAAGAATCGTACGTCGATTAGTTTTAGCCGGAGCTGATCTTACGGTCAGAAATTTTAGAGGAAATACGCCGCTTCATCTTGCCTGCATTTCTGGTGATATATACTGCGTTAAAGCTCTAACCAATCAGTTTACACCAGCCGAACGAACGTGGTTGGAACCAGGAAAGAAATTACCATCGCTGCCACAAAATTTGGAACAAAGAAATTACGACGGTAAGTTAAACAAAAAATTCTTCGTATTTATCTCGTGTTTTAAAAAAATAAATAAATAAATAAATAAAAAAAACACTACTAATAAGCGCATATTATTATCATATTAATATTATTATTTTAATTGCTCTTGTATTACAAAATTTGTTATATGGGGAATGAAATTAATAACTTAGCATAACATTGAGTGGTAATTGTTTAAGAATAAAAAATCATTCATATTCCTCAAGTATATTAAGTTAGTTTTAAGAAATAAATACTTGAATCTTTTAATCGAGAACAATAAATGTTAAGTTCCACGAATGAACTATTTAAAAAATACCATATTTCCTTGGGTTTCATTAACCAAAGTTTCATTATTAATCCTTTTTTCAATATTCTACAATATATTTTTTACTTTGTTGTAAATAATCCAGTAACAAACGGTTGTGCTAAAATGGGAAAATAATTAATTATTGATTTTTATTTATTGAAATCAACCTAAACTTTTCACATACATATTTGTAAAAATCATCAAAATTAGGTATTAAAACAATAATATTAATTTTTTTCTTTCTTAAAATATTTGCATACATATTGTTGTATTGTGACTGGGGAGTAACAGTTTTTCATCTCATTACTTTCTAAAATCTTGGCTTATGTTAAACTTGGAATAAAAAAATTTCATTTATTCAATACAGTAATTTCGTATACGGCATAACCCAAATATAATAATAAATTACAAATATTGAAATTAATTCAGTACTCTACTTTATTTTTTATAATACCAAAGTTAAATTTACATAAAAAACTAGGATTATTTGAAGTGGCTAGTTGCCTTTTCTGTTGTGAAACATCCTATGTTATCGGTAATTATATGTATTTTTTTCAAATATGGCTGTCGATCAACAAGAACGTTCTTTAAAAAATGTAACTCTACGTTCAAAATGATACTATTTGTATTTGTGAAATTTTTTTTTATATTAATAAGATGGATGTTCGATGATGTATTGTAAATATTTGTTTCCAATAGAATAAATGTAAAATTAGATCATTTATACGTAAATGTTCTCTTCGGATATTTAATTATTAAAATAATTGTAATTTTAATCAGATAGCGATTGCGAATAATTTATATTTATTAAGCACATGTGCACACCCACATATGAGTGGAGTGGAGTCAATGTGGCGTGAATTTTTTATTAATTCGTGTCGATAATCTAGATTAGTTTCGTTTTAGTTTATAAATGTTGGCATAGCTTTGATTTTTAAATCTCAGATATTAATGATTGCATTACAAATTTGGTGGTATGACATAATTATAATAAAGTGCTCGTGTTAATGATAAATATTTCTTCGTATGATTAAGAATACAGATTTTTACAATTTTATTATTTACTACGGATTGAGTTGAAAGTTTAAAAGTTTAAATTTAAAAAAAAAAAAAATTTGTTCGAATTATAATAACCGTAAATTTTAGGTTTTTTTTTTTTTTTTTTTTTTTTTTTTTTTTTTTTTTTTTGTACAGTAAAATAATTATGCTGATTTTTAAAAGTTAATTTTAGGTTAAATCGAGGTAATGTTTTGTATTCGTTGATTAAAACTGCAAAAGCATATATCGATTAATTCGGTCATTTTGAAAAACAAAAAAAAAATTTATATCGTTCATGTTGAATCGATTAGATGCAAATCTTATGTAATATTCTATTTTATCAATGAGCTTAATTAAAATAAATCACACTATCGGTAATGATGATCATTAAACAATAGATTTTTCATACATTTCTTTGAATTTCGCAATTGTTAGAATGTCAATTTATTTGTATCGAATATTATCTAAAATAGCATATATTAATGAAAGAGTTGCGAAATAGAAAATTATTTACCATTTTTAATATTAGAAATTGAATTAGTTTTTATTTTGTTATTAGACTTTCCAGCTTGTACTGATGGTTTTTTTTTTTTTTTTTTTTTTTTTTTTTTTTTTTTTTTTTTTTTGTACAGTAAAATAATTATGCTGATTTTTAAAAGTTAATTTTAGGTTAAATCGAGGTAATGTTTTGTATTCGTTGATTAAAACTGCAAAAGCATATATCGATTAATTCGGTCATTTTGAAAAACAAAAAAAAAATTTATATCGTTCATGTTGAATCGATTAGATGCAAATCTTATGTAATATTCTATTTTATCAATGAGCTTAATTAAAATAAATCACACTATCGGTAATGATGATCATTAAACAATAGATTTTTCATACATTTCTTTGAATTTCGCAATTGTTAGAATGTCAATTTATTTGTATCGAATATTATCTAAAATAGCATATATTAATGAAAGAGTTGCGAAATAGAAAATTATTTACCATTTTTAATATTAGAAATTGAATTAGTTTTTATTTTGTTATTAGACTTTCCAGCTTGTACTGATGGTTTTTTTTTTTTTTTTTTTTTTTTTTTTTTTTTTTTTTTTTTTTTTTAATTTAACTATAGACGAGCGATTAAAATAGTCCTTAATTATTATTAACTTAATGAAATTTCAAAATTTCATTTAGTTTTTCGGCTTACGATTGTTTTTGGTAGCTCGATAATTTAGTGCATTGAAGAAACTCTAGAGGAAGTTTAAATTGTCCGAGTACATAGCGTTGCAGGAAGCAACGACTGTTTTATATTTTAACGGTAGCTTATCTGACGATTAGAATAAAATATGATTCAATGTTGAAAAATGCAAGGCTACTATGATGTCACGATTTGCTATCAGTTGGTTGAGTAAGGAGGAGCTGCTTCTCTGATATGGATATATTGGGATTACATTAAAGAATCGCCAGGTCGGAAAGCAAACGAACTTGGATCATGAAATTTTTGGTAAATAAACTTCGATCGTAGATATTCGCGCTAGAGACTAGATATATTATCATTAGATACTTATTATTATAAAATAGTTTGCGCAAATTTCCATCCGTCAAGGTCGACAAATTTCTTGACAAAGTTCTTGCGGTCATTTGTTTGCATTGGCTTTCCTCAAGGATGGATGTTATACATACACAAGAGTGGTATGAGAGATTTTTGAGCCTCGGAATTCCCACGTGATGTCACTTTATAACTACTTTGCGTCGCACTTTTGCGCTCGCGGTCTCGTTAATTCATTGTCATCGCCGTTTCCTGCTATCTTCAATAACAATCAGCGAATTAAGTTGTCAAATATATATATATATATATATATTATGCACATATGAATTTTTTTTTATTTTTATAAATAAACCAATGTGCATTGATGGTGCAACTAACAATTGAAGCACGCACGCTTGCGTTTCTCCTCGGTATTTCCCCCATTGCGTGACAGTTGGAGAAAGTAATAGCGCCGAAACTTTAGTCGAAGAATCGCCAATACATATACTTGTACGCTTGCCCGTTGTCAATGCGGCAATCTTTCATTAGGGGAACATGTTTTTTTTTTTTTTTTTTTTTTTTTTTTTTTTTTTTTTGTATCGGCTGCTCCATTATAGATGCTTTTAAGGGATTTTATGCTTGAATACCGTGAATTTAACGAAACTTTCAGTATGCTTTTCGACAGGTTGGCGAGCGCCTTGATAAGTCGTACCAAATTCCGTCATCACTTAACGTCACGTTACATAATTCTCGGGATATGTTTGTGGCTGTGACAATATTGCTGACATTCGTCGACGAATGAGATTCTTCGTTTTGTTCCCGATATTAAAATGCATACGACTCTTAGTCATTGATTTATCTAATGCATTCCATTATCTTTGTGATATATATATATATATATATATATATATATATATATATATGCGCATTGTCGGAAGAATTAATTATAGCCATTAATTAATTTATTGTATTTTTACGAACAATTGCCTTATAATTGCATTTTTATCGTATCAATTGAAAAGTTCGCAGGAATATTTTTGTTATAGGTTGAATGGTACTCACTTATTTAATTACATTTTTTTCTTTCTTTCTTTTTTCTTTTATATATATATATATATATATATATATATATTATGCAGAGAGAGAAAGAGAGAGAGAGAGAGAGAGAGACAGTATTATTTCAATTTGTTTTGCAATTACAGATCAAAGTAACGCACTATTTCCGTCCTTGTAAATCAATAGTTTTAAAATTGCACGCTAGTGCCATATGCACTTTGTAAGATTACATAATTGATCACGATATATGATAAAATCAATGATCGCCATCATTAAATAATATTAAACGATATTTCACTATTAAATTAGTATTTAAATTTAAATGATATAAATTTTATTTGTTCACTAAGCAACGGTAATCTTATAATCGGCACGATTGACGTGGAATAATAATTTCAAAAATCTTTTATTCAACTGGAAAGTACATACAGCACAGTTGCGTGCACATTGAAATTTGTAAATAAACATCGTACACGACGTATTTTCTTTGCTTCGTGAATCTCAAGTTAAGTAACCGAAAGAATTTGAGAAAATCGTTTAAATAAGACCTTGATCCTTTTAAATTATTGTTTTAACCTGTTTAGTCTTTAAAATGTAAAGTAATATTGTTCGTTAGCAATTCTGTTTATTCAATGTTGAAATATGTTGAATTAACCTCGTTCAAAAAGCGTATCAGTTATGGGCAAAATAAACTTAGTGTTAAATGCGATAATAAATTAAAAGACATGAAAATACTTCTCTTTTATAATAATGCCTAAATTGTTATATATATATATATATATATATATATATATATATATATATATTCTTGTAGTTAATTAATTACTCCTTCGATAGATATATTTGCAATTCTCTCTGACTTATAGTCGAACGGATATCATTGATTATGGACTTTTTGTATTTTGTAGTAATTAATATCTTTAAATTGTTCGATAGCCATTTGTTAGCGAAATTGATGTCGAAGTTACGATCGGCATACAATAATCTAACAATTCATTGTAATTTGTAGTTTTGATAATATTGTGCCTCGATGTTTGCCATCCGGATAAATAATTTCGATTGCCAATCACGACGGTTCTTCTC